GCATGAAAATGTGTACTTCACTTTCAAAAAGTGATCATAGTGGTATTTTTATGTGAGATTAAAGATGAGTGCAATGTGTGTTAATATAAAAATTTAGATGAGAGATATCTAAATACATGATAATTATGTTATGCTATGTATGTAAATGTTTTCACCATTCACTTTGATAAGCAAAACTTAACCTCCTCATCTAACTACTGCTACCAAAAAAAAAAAGGAAAAGGGAAATATTTTCAGAGAAGATGATTTATTTGAATGCCCATATTCCTACTATACCCAGAACAATTGCTATTGCATGAAGGATCAAATGGATGAGCTTCTTCACTTCCTTGCTCCAGGGAAGAACCTTATAGCTTATTATTGCTGAAATTTATCCACATAACAAAATCAAAAAACAAAGTGAATAAGATCTTATGCTATCATTAGATGGCCAAAAGTTCTATAGTACATACCTTCACCACCAATGGCTATGAAGCCAATGAGCATAAAAACTGGGTGAAGCTGAAAGAAACAAATAGCAAGAGCAAGATGATGAAAAAATGTTGACGGTATGAAAAAAAATTGAACATTCTATTTGATATTCAAATGTATTAGGTAATGTTTTGTTTATAGATGGGGTTGTTTGGTAACAGATTTATTAAACCTGAAATCCGGATATTACTAACCCTGCCAACACCAGGATTTAGTAAATCTGGATTTAAGACAAAACTAAGAGTAAATCCAAGATTTAAAATTTGCCCTTTACTTATGTTTAAAAAAGTTGAGTTAAATCCCACTTAAATCCATTATCAGACAGCCCGGAAGAAAATCTCAGTATGCCACCATAGTGAGATTGAAGAACAAAACTAAAAGGAATAAATAACAATAAGCTCAATGCATATTGAATTTCAGTTATACTTGGTGCTAACCTCAAAAAAAAGAACTTTAAGAGCTATGGAAGCCCTGGGACGTTGATTCCATCATTTAAATAACATTAGTGATGCCACACTTAATTGAAATCAAGAAAAGATAATTTCATCTTAAAGTAAAATGTTCACCAATTGTGATTAAGGTTAAGCATTTTGGAAGTATCTTCAGATTCTTAACAGCCTAATGTAAGATGATCAAATTATTAAAGGGAAACCAACGCTACAATCAGAGTACAACTTATTATCAAGTTTGGCAAGGTATCCAAAGCATCATCATCACAATATTATTTAAAAAATCAGAACTTAAAACCCCATCGGACAATATGACAAAGGAAACACCAAATCATAGAATAAAAAGAACCCAAGGATTGAAAGCCTTTCTATTCAGGCTACATCGTCACCTTCTTAAGCATTCAGTCAAAGCATATTCTCCTCATCAAACATGAGAATAATAGTCTGTTTGGGCAGCTACAGGCAGAAACTGCTATAGAAGAAATTACTATTCAAACAGCTGCGGTGGCTATTATAAATTCATTTTGTTTTCCAAAAATAAGAACTTAGAGACACCCATTTTAACAACTTAGTCTCACGCTCCACCATATTCAAGAAGTTGACAAGGCAAGCATGAGACGGAAGATTCTAGAAAAGACCAGAATGTAGGGAGCCATCCAGAGGGTTCTAGAAGATTCTACCCAATTCTAGAGAAAATGAAAATGAAAGGCTCCAAGGAGAAGCCAAGTGTAACCTAGAAAATTCTAGAGCATTGTATGTAGTATAAGAAAGGATGTAGAATAATCCAGAAGGTAAACTATTCTAATGTATTCTAGAATATTCCCATGGGCTTGGAGGGGGTTATAAATAAGTGCTCCTCCCCTCATTGGTAATGACCCAAGCATTCAATCAAAGTTTTCAAGTATTCAAGTGTGAAGTGTTCCTTTCTCTCTACTCTTCTTCTTAAGAGTGCTTGGTGCTCACGAGTCCAAACGTTGTGAGAATTAGGTTGATTTAGTGCTAAAGGAGAGCGCTAAAACCGCACGGGTGACTTGAGGGAAGTTAGTACGTGACAGTTGGTATCAGAGCTTTGGTTCGTAGGAATGACAAAGGTTTCAAAGAGCATGTGATGGAGTCGGAAGCCACGAATATAGAGTCAACTCAAAAAGCCACATGGGAGGTCCAAGGAGATCATGCATAGCTTTGATTCGCGTCTTGCTCGGATGGAGGAGACAATGAACGACATGGAGGGCCAAGTAGAGGATCTTGGTCAAAGGGTTGATGGACTCGAGGAGGAGGACTTCACCATCCATTCGACAATCAGAGGTATGATGCTCCAACTTGATGAGACCTTAATGGGTCATATGGCTAAGTTGCAGGAGGATTTGTTGGGGAAGCTCCAAGAGGTGCGAAGAGCCTATGAGGAGGAGATGAGCGACATGGTGTTAGCTTGGAGGAGATGCGTGGAGACATTTCGTTGTGCAAGAGGGCATTAGCGTCATTCACAAGTCATCCCACTTTCAAAGCCAAGAGGATTGAAATTCCAAAACCTATTGAGTTTTGGAGGCATTCGCAACATGAAGGAAGTAGACAACTTCTTATGGGGACTAGAGCAATACTTTGGAGCGATGAGAATTGCCGATGAAGATGCAAAAATACAATTTGTCTCTCTTTATCTCTCGACATCGCTATGCTTTGATGGAGAAGAAGAAAATGAGATGTAGAGAAAGGTTTGTGCTCTATGTCAACTTTCAATGACTTCAAGAGAGGATGAGGTTCGAGCCCGGCTGCAAAGGCTTAAGCAAGAGGGTTTGATTCGAGACTACATTAAGGAGTTGACAAGCTTGGTTCTTTAAATATTCGATATTTCAGACAAGGATACTCTTTTCAACTTCATGGATGGGCTCCAACATTGGGCAAAGAATCCGCATAAGAGACGAGGAGTGCAAGATCTTGCCACTTCCATCGCGGTTGTTGAAAGCTTGGTTGATTATTCAAAGGAGTCTAAAAAGCCTGAAGAGAAGAAAATTTATGATGTCAAATGTGGGGATGAAAAAGGCAAAAACAAGGAAGAGAAACGTCGCGAATCAACCCCAACAAAGGCAAGGGACAAGGAGAAGACTAACAACAAGTCATATCAAAACTATTGTTTTATTTGTGAAGGACCTCATGGGGCAAGGGATTGCCCTCAGAAGAAGGCCCTCAACTCTCTCCTAGCAAGCCATATGAAGGAATAAGAAGGAAGAAGAAAGTGATAGGGAAAATGGCATGGAGGCACATGTAGGATCTCTTCAACTACTAAACGGGATACAACCTCCTACAAAACCCAAAGGGAGAGGGTTACTCTTTGTGGAGATGACAATAGCAGGGAAGACCACCAGGGCGATGGTGGATACGGGTGCTTCCCACAAGTTCATCTCTAGCGAGGAAGCAAAGAGGTTGGGGTTGTAGATGACTAAAGAAGGGGGCTCCATTAAATTCATCAACTCAGCAAACATGTCAATCGATGGAGTAGCTAAGGGAGACAAGACCAACATTGGGGCATGGTAAGGTACTCTAGATTTTTCTGTCACTTCTTTGGATGATTAAAAAGTTGTCCTAGGAATGAACTTTATTGAAACAAGCAAGAATATTCCCAATGTAATTTGCCAATAGCCTATGCATCACGGAAGGGAGTCAAGCTTGCCCAGTGCCGATAATAAGATTAAGCAAGCAAGTATCCAAAACACTATCAGCAATCAACTTAAAGATGACATTACACGGGACAATGGGGACAACTTGACTATCATTCATGATACTGATGAAAGAGAAAATACCCAAGGAGATGGGATGCCAAGGAATGTGGTGGAGGTTCCGCCAAGAAAGAAGAAACATGGTTCAACAAGGTTGAAGGCGAGAGATAAGCCGCCAGTCAGGAAGACTTGCTGCATAACGCTCCTCTCCCATAACACCAAGGAGAAACCAAGGTTTTTCAAGTCAGAGGGCAAACAGAGGAGGCAGTTTCGAAGGTGCAGGGGAAGCCGCAATGAGAGCATTATGAGTTTAAGTGGGGGAGAGTGTCACGCTCCACTATATTCAAGAAGTTGGCAAGGCAAGCATGGGGCGAAAGATTCTAGAGAAGGTTGGAATGTAGGGAGCCATACATGGTGTTCTAGAATATTTCACCCAATTCTAGAGAAAATAAGAAAGAAAGGCTCCAAGGAGAAATTAAGAATAACCTAGAATGATCTAGGGCTATGTGTGTAATAAGAGAAGAATATAGAACTCTCAAGAAACTAGAATAATTTAATGTATTCTAGAATATTTCATTAGGCTTTGATTTATAAGTGTCTCCCCTCATTTTTAATCACCCAAGCATTGAATCAAAGATTTTCAGTATTCAAATGTGAAGTGTTCACTTCTCTCTACTCTTCTTCTTAAGAGTGTTTGGTGCTCGCAAGTCCAAGCTTTGTGAGGATAGCGCTAAAGCCGCACGTGTTACTTGGCAAAGTTAGTCCGTGACATTAGGCTAAAAAAATATAATTTATTACTATAAAAATTTCTGAAAAAAAAAACAGCAAGAAATCAGTTTCTCAAAGTAAAGTTAGTCAGTGACATTAGGCTAAAAAAATAATTTGTTACTATAAAAATTTCTAAAAAAAAAAAAGCAAGAAATCAGTTTCTCAAAGTAAAAGCAAGAAAGTTGTCCCAAACATATCCTAAAAAAGAATACAAAAAGACAAGCACCCTATTCACATTTCATGCTTATGAAATCGCCTTCTTTACCTTCAGAATGAGTAAGAAGAGACATGTAGTACCAAAGTAAGAATAACATTAAAAAAAAATCGAGAACAGACATAACACCAAAATTTGCCCCTTGTTCCCCAAAACATCGCAGAAACCAAATCCAAAAGTGTGATCAATAACAGAAAGACATAAAAGAAAAAACTTTCGAAAGAGGGGAAGCGATAGTGTTACGTTAAAGATGAGATTTTTGTTGACAGCCTCAAAGGCGAGGCCGCCGCGAAAGTTGATGCACCAGATGAGAACCAGCACCGCCGCCGCCACTCCGAGCACATGCGCTACGTAAGTAAACGGCGCCGCCGCCACTCCGATCGGTCCAGCCATCTCCTTCTCTCCTGTCTCCCGTGTCGCCCCCTCTACCTCGTTTTCCACCGGCTACACAACAAGAGTCAATATGGCCTCGTGGCCGCCACGGCGAGCAATCCACATTTCATATATTTAATTGCATAATTATCCTCTACTTGGTCGATCGTAGTATTTCTCTATTTGAAGAATTAAACTCATCTTAATTAAAATAGAAAATATCTTGCACTTTTATTTAGGAAAAAAATTTAATTTTTTTAATGAATGCTAATATAAAATAAATTAAATTCAAGATAAGCTAACATATCTAATATTCAAAATTTTAATAATTATATAATAAAAATTTAGTGTTATAAACATAGTTCGTCGATCGTAGTATTTTTCTATTTGAAGAATTAAACTCAACTTAATTGAAATATAAAATATCTTGCACTTTTATTTAGGAAAAAAAATAATCTTTTTGATGAATGTTAATATAAAATAAATTAAATACAAGATAAGTTAACATATCTGTTATTTAGAATTTTTATAATTATATAATAAAAATTTAGTGTTATAAACATATTAAAATCATAAAAAGTTATATTTCATTAAAAAAAAAGTATTAGAAATATTTTAATATGACATGTGAAAAAGTGACGGACACTTATAGTCATTATTTTAATTTTTTCTCTATCCCTTTCAAGATGTAATATTTATTATGTTATTCATCTTTTATTAAAGTATGTTTGACAAAAAATATCAGTCACTTCAAGCCCCCTGATCTATTTAGCATTGACTATAGTTTGCAAACACAGTTCTCAAGACCAACTTTTCACTCCCGGCCTACCTCTCGGGCAACAACACCGGAAAACCCATATATCTCTTTCTCGCATTTCTACTCGAGGTTCATGTGTGTCGCCAGTTTCTTCCTTCTCTATCTCGCACTGGCAATCCGACATAGGCCGGCCAATTTTCTGTCTTGTCATCTTTCCTGCAACCTCACTCAGTTTCCCTCTCAAATCAAGCAAACTCACGAGCCAACCGCGCCGCTTTGGCCAACCCATATAACCCTCACCAAACAGATCGATCACACTTCAGTCGGCCGCCCCACACCATCTCCCCGGCCAACCACCTATTGGTAGGCCACTTAAAGCCTTCCAGCCAGCCACTTAAATCCCTCCAACAGACTACCTAAACTCCTCACCGGCCTTCAATTTCAGTTTCCCAGTCGGCTACATAATTAGTCGGCTACCTCACCAGACGGGCCCAACTGCTTACGAATCGAGAAACTTCTTGCTCCTTCTGTCAACCAGAAGTTCCTCCACCTTTCACCAGTGATTCCACAGTGAGCTCCTCCATCCCAAGCTTTACCCCCAGGAAAGCTCATACTACCATTGCTTACTCGTAACTCGCTGACCGATCCAAAGTACTTCTGAGCAACAAGTTTAGGCTTGAAAATATCTTAATGACCTACGAAAGCCCTTCTCAAGTAAGGGTAATAATGTAATTTTACCTTTTTATCTTCATGTCACCTATAAATTGGAGAAATTTTTCATGTATTGGGGAGCTTTCTGACCCTTCTCTCTTGATCCCTCTCAAATAGGGAGAACTATCTCCTCCTCTTTATGTAGCCCTCTCATTCGATGAAATAAAATGAGCAAAAGAGCTCTAAAATACCCTGTTTTTGCTTTCAGGCCCAAGTCCATGTGCACCCTCTCTCTCTCTCTCTCTCTCTCTCCCACGGATTCCCAAGGCTCTATTCCTTCGGTGTGATTCATAAGACAAATTCGAACTCAAAAAAGGGTTGATAAATTTTGGCACGAGATCTCAACCACTGGCTACCATATCCTCTGTCTATCTTTTAAAGATGATTATAAGCTCAACATCCAACAAAAGGATGCAATGACTAATGACCTCCCAAGATCTAAAGTTTCTTTTGTCTAGTTCCATCTATGTTAAGTATCCTTTATAAGGTTGGGGAAGAAAATAACTTAAAAGGTTTTACTAATATCAAGACTTGAAACAAGAAAAAATATTTAATATTATTGAGGAAAAGCATAGATCTAAGGTGAAAGGGCATCTCCACTGAGATAGAGGAGATAATGATAATTGTTGGACATTGTGCAAGGGATGCGACTGAATTTGACAATAACAAACTAATTGTCGGTGTGAAGAGGTGAAAGTATGGCCGATATTAGGACCTCAAGGCTTGTGGTGGAGCTTAATCTTAATTAAAGAATTGAGTTCAAGTTTGAACTTATTTTTGTGAGTTTAAAGTGGTTCACGGGTCCTATAATAAAATGATAAATAGAACGAGTAATTAGAAGAGAAATATAATGAAATCATATATATATATATATATATATTCTAATTATTTATAAATAAAGCCTAGGGTGTATTTTGAGTGTATTTTATATTAATATTTTCTTAAACGAGTCAGTCCACAAGCTAATTAGTCCAATCAAGGCCAGCTTGAGGTTCGCTTGTTAGCTAATCAAGTTTAGCTCACTAGCTATTTATCAAGTCGAGCTCGAATAAGCTTGGCAAAGTTACACCTTTAGCGTATATTATTGACATTGAGGATGACTAAAATATTTTTGTTCAATTATTTTTCCAAATTAGATAGTAAAGATAAACACAATTACCAAATCACAAGCCCATAGAATTAACAGCATATTTATAAATTTTATGGAAATTAAGTTTTCATTATGATATAATGATAATATAAAATGCAACACTCCTACTTTTTGTCCATCTTTCCATCTTTGTTTACTTAAAAATAAATGACACAAGACAAAATATGCAATTTGGTGTCCTGCTTTAAAATCCTCCTTGGTAAAAAGTGTAATGCTTCACTCTAAGAAAAAAAAATTCCACAAAAAAAATTTTGTTAGACTTTGCTTTGCTTAGGCAGGTTCATCACATACGTTTCCCTTGTTTTTATTAATCCAACTAAACATAGTGGACCCTAACTCAATTTCTTGTATAATTTTATTTTTGTAATGTTTGAGTTCTTTGCATTAAATTATATGAATATGAAACATTTGGGGGATTGACATTGCCTAAATTTGAAGTTGATGTGTCGTTAGGAAAGTATTATAATCATACACCAATCTTGATGGATGTTGAGTTATAAATATTTTAAATTCAAATCCAGGATCGTCTGAGCCACAACTTTAACAAATTTATGGTTAAACTGAGCATCTTAACTGGAAGCACCTAATGATGTTGAAAGTCATCCAATCCAAGTCCAAATAAGCCCAGATCAACCATATGGAGTACAATCAAGGGCTGTGGTGCATCGATTGGAAGGTTAAAATATCTTAGAACTGGGTATACTTATTTCTAAATCGAGTAGCTCGACAAAAAAAATCTAACAAGCCTAATGTCATGGACAAAAAGTCTCACATCGGCTAGGTGTAGAGTCGAAAAGCAGTATTTAAGTCTTGGGCTGCCCACCACCCCTAAGTTTTCTTTTGAGAGGTGACAAGTGATATCAGAGTATATTACTGCCTACCAGGTGTGTGGACTCTCCATGGTCCAGTGGGACCCTCGGTGGAACCGATCCGTGACGAGGGCATCACGTGATTGGGTGGAGAATGTCACGGACAAAAAGTCCCACATCGGCTAGGTGTAGGGCCGAAAGCAGTATTTAAGTCATGGGCTGACCACCACCCCTAATAGTTCTTTTGGGAGATGACACTAAGGTCCTCTAATTTTGAGGTTGTTAAGACACTTTAAATGTTCTAAAAATACATATTATCAAGAAAATAAATGTGGATCTTCCAAATGAGTGTTTTGGGAGCTAGGCTAATTTTACCAAAATGCTTGTGTCAAAAACTATAAATAAGCCCTAATTCTTCACTTGAAGAAGGAATGATGAGAGAATAGAATGAGCTGCATACTAATGCTTAACCTTTGAAGTCCCGATGATTCTCACTAACCACTAAAGTTTGTCATAGGCCACAAGATGTCATCATCGACCACCACAGTTATTAGTTCTTTTTAAAACTTTGAGTTGCCAACTTGTCTATTCACCTTCGTATAATTTTCTTTCCCATATAACCATCTTTCATAGATCATCAAAATAATTCAAATAAGAGGAGGGATCGAGAAACGAGAACAAATGACAATATCTAGACGAAAAAATTAAAAAGAAACATGAAGAACTTACGTAAGGTAAACTTCGTGTGAGCTTTGAGAAAATATGTCCAAATTGATTGGATCAAAATATCTTGAAACACATATACACGAAGAGAAAGCCTTACGTAAGAAATGCACAACAAGAAAACCAAAATTTAATATTTTGTTCTAAGATCAACATTAACTACTAAAGAAACGTGTCTCTTTGATTAAATGCATCCTAGAGGATACTTAAGAATACTCTCGATAATAGAGGGCTTGCTTACATTAATGTAAAATGCCCAACCCGACCAGAGTTCACTTGTCAGCAACTCATATGTTGCATCGTCCAAGTAAATCTCGGTAGCCCTAAGATCAAAGGAATGAAGACTCTATAGGTAAAATCAATAGAAATAGGACTTACACCCACTGAGAAAGTGAGAAAGATGCCTCTCAAAAGAAGGGAAAAGAGAGGTTCAGCTACAATACTGAAAATAATCCCACAATGAACTCACAACTGTTTGGATTGGAGAGCCTCTAACATCCTAAGTGCTCTAGACAACCATCTAAGTAAAAAAATTATGCTTGGTCAGTCGGGTTGAAGAGTACGAGGGTTATTCCTTGGAACGTGCAAAAATGATGCAATTATCTAAATAAGTTCTAATGTGTAGGCCTTATTAGGGATGACATTGAAGATGTTCATGATATGCAAGTCTTTTAATATAGGTTTGAAAGTTATGCAGGAAAGTAAAAGCAGAAAGTAAATGCTCATTTAAAAGTGATACAGTTTCACTCCCAAATTTTGATTAAGCTCAATATTTTCTTATTAATATTTTCATAAAAATAAAATATTTTAATCTTAAAGAGCCTATATTATATATGATAAGCTCCCAAACAAACCACAACCATAAGAAAAAGTAAATATCAACATTCAACAAAGAAATAAACAGATTGGTAAATCTGTTTGGGATGAGACTCTCTCCATTTTAGGAGTCCCTGCTTACCTATTTGTGACCTAGTTTTCTTCTTTGTGTCACTATTTGAGCTT